TCTGAAATTAGTTTTTGTTATTTTTTATGACTGGGGGACCATTTCTGAGACCCACACAGAGTTCAGGGGTTGAGTGGGGGCTGCAACCTCAGGCCTGGTTTTGTAGATGAACTAACATTTTCTTTCTCAGCCTAGCTAGTACTTCATATTCCTAGCTCTGAAAATGGTCTTGTAGAAGTTTGTATGAGTTTTTGGGTAAGCAGAGTGCTAGAATTTATTTGGGGGAGGAATTAGCCCCTTGAATTTGTACACATCACTTCAGTGGCTTTACACTCATGTCCCTATTTTTGTTTTCTTGTACAGCTATTTGAAAACAGAGAGCTGTACTAGAGGCAGCTCCCAACCTGCCAGATCAATCACAACAGTTTATCTGGGCTCATTGGTTGAAGGCAGGAATTATTGTAATAAGAGATCAATATTCTGATTTCCAGACTAGGTCATTGGAATTAGAGCAGAAATAATATAATATAGGGAGATATACCTATCTCATAGAACTGACAGGGACCCTGAAAGGTCATTGAGTCCAGTCCCCTGCCTTCACTAGTAGGACAAAGTACTGATTTTGCCCCAGATCCCTAAGTGGCCCCCTCAAGGGCTGAACTCACAACTCTGGGTTTAGCAAGCCAATTCACCAACCACTGAGCTATATCTCCCCCATATAAAATGGAGGATGTGTAAAAGGAAAATATATCAACTGAGTGCCTGCATTACTAAATATATTCCTGAGCTTCTATAGAGTGAAATTATCCCATGATGCAAAGCTTTGCACACTACTTAACCCTGAAAGGGGCTCCATCCTGACCTCATAATGGCTGGTGCAGAAGGCGGTGCAGGGGACAGGCTGTGGGTGTTTAACAAGAAAAGCCGTGTAACTACATTTACCCTGAACCAACACCACATGCAGCCAATGTGGCAGTATTTAGCTAATGTAAACCACACTAGTCAAGTGTGGATCTCTATATAGCCAAATATGCAGTTCAAATGTAGCTCTATGTGATCTCAATGTGACCACCACAGCTGAACACTGTGAAATATTGGAAAGTTTTGATTCAAGGCTGGATTGCAAACTCTCAAATTTGGGAGTTTGCACCCATGATTTTTGTATTCCCCAATTCCAAAAATATGAAGTTCACATCCAGAATTTGGATTCATGATTGTGGTTCAAGACTCATTTCTACTGAGAAAGATTAGAATGAGTTAGAGGTGAATATAGCAATAAGCTACAAAATTGTAGGCTTTTTATAGGCTAAAATCTGATAGGCTATGGGTGCACAATTTGGTCACGTGGGTGACTGCTGTAAGTCACCCAAGAACCTCCTAAGCAAAACAGCCTCCTGACACACACCCTAGAGTAGCTTATTGCTGCCAGAATATGGCTCATTCATTTTGCATTTCAGAATTTTTATTTTCACTTTTTAAGATGTAATTTATGAATTATGAAAGTAATTTCTAGTAATGATATGAGAAATGAGAGAAAAGTTATAAATACTATTTTCTCCAACTCTATTTTTAAGGTTCCCTGTGCTATTAGGAACCCTTCACCACCACCATCACACACACCCCACCCATTATCTCCAGAAGCCAAACTGCCCTATTAACAACCGTTTGTGGCCCCAAAGCCAAATTTAACTCACTCTCTTTAATAAAAATTTGTACTGAACAGCACTAGGAGTCTGCTTTTCACTAGAAATTGAGCTGACCATGTCTGAAAGACAACAAACAGGTGCCGAAATGGCCCTTTGGCCTTTTGTGAGAAGCAATCTGCTTTAGATGTAACTTCTCTCCCCCTCTCCAACTGCCTCCCTTCATCCCCATACTCACAGAAGATCTTACTTAACACTGATAATGTGGTAGAACCTACTGGCCAACCAAGCCTTATTATCTTTGTCCTCCCCACATCAGTGTTACTCTCTTACACACACACACACACACATGTGTAGGGAATTTTGTGTGAATCAGTGACGCGGTACAAATTATGCCCTCCGGGGATTGAGATACAGCTGTGGCATCATCCAAAAGGCCCAACCAGCCAATGAGAATGTGATTTTTGAACATCAGTATCCACAACCAGATTAGAATGGCTTTTCATTACCCTGAACTACTCAGTCCTTCAACATAGATATTCTTCCTGATTATTTATTAAGAGCCCACGACTAAAGCCTTTATTCACACTCCTAAGAGTGTCTGCACTGCAATTAGCCACCCGCAGCTGGCCCATGCCAGCTGACTTAGGCTCACAGGCTTGGGCTAGATGGTAGTTTAATTGTGGTGTAGACATTCAGACTGAAGCTGGAGCCTTGGGCACCGGGACTCTACCCCCTCGCAGGGTCCCAGAGCCTGGGCTCCAATCCAAGCCCGAACGTCTACAGCACAATTAAACTGCCCATTAGCCTGAGCCCCACAAGCCCAAGTCAGCTGGCACAGGGCAGCTGTGGGTTTTTAATTTTAGTGTAGACATACCCAAAGGCTTCTATCTTACCTCAAGGAGTCTGCCTGCCTCTTTCCAGTTACAGGATTGCAGCCTACATTTGCATTTATTATTTGACAGCTAACACAAACATAACAGGTGTATCATCTGATAAATCAGGAAATAAGTATTTCATAAGAAACAGACACAGGTACACATTTAGCTTTTAAATGTACATCTAGATCTACACTTTTTATTTACATTAACTGTTTCAATATAAAACATAAATCTTTGCTTTCCCCCATCCTTCTTTAGCAGCAGTAACTATGTCCTTTAATATGATTTTTTTTTATTTTGACTCTTTGGTAAATATAAAGGACAAATTTAGAAGGATGATTTGTCTAGACATTGATTGCTTTTGCCATAATTTAAAGTTATATTTGATTTTTGGGTGGGATTTCATTTACACATCTCAGCTGGTAACATTTACACATAAACACGAACACATTTAGTCCATTCCTATGACAGTTTTGGATGTCTTTACATTGCTATGTCAGAATGATGTTGCTACTTCAGAGGCATTTGGGAGTAAAGTGTTCTGTGGAGGCTGATTTAGTCCTTTATACTGTCTTGACAGCGTGGCTGGTGGCATTGCTGGCCCACCACTTAGGACTCTTTCATATACACTTTGTAGTCTTTCAGTTTTAGGAATATTAACTTGATACTCTTTCAGCTTTGGCTGTTGTGGAAGAAAATTGGGCTTCCCGAGCTGAAGGATGGGCTGATAAATTGGTGTAGAATATGCAATCGTATAATCATTTTCATAATGCAATGGGATGGTTTTGCTTGTTTGGGACTGGTGGACATAAAATCTACAATATCTTTCTGTTTCCTTGTAAGTCCGTCCATCTGTACAGGCTGCAGTACCTGGAAGAGAAGTAATGTTTTAACAATCACACTTTTTTTTCTGGAATATAGTGATCTAATATGTTCTGTCAGAAGAGAAATATCAAATTCCTATAACTTTCACCAGCATTATGCAATTAGATGTGTTTATTTCTACCAAAAAGAGCTTTATATATTGAGAAAAACATATCCACACTTCTGTGCTTGGTTAAGGGGCAGATTCCCATGTATTTCAATGGGAGCAACATCATGTCCTAAAATTAGGCTCGGCTCCTACAAAGAAACACTTACACATATGAGTAACTGAACCCCAATTTGAGTTCAAGTGTTTCCAAGATCAGGGCTTTAGTAATGGCAAAGCCAGTGTGATACACAAGGGATTCAACAAGGAGCAATTTAACTATAAAAATATTTTATTTGTTACAGAAAAAATATGAAGACAGAGGCCTAAAATTTCAAAAGTGGCAAATGATTTTGGGTGTCTGATGCTCAGCTTGAGACACCGTAAAGTGTGGAATCAGCACTTTCTGAAAATCAGGCCCCTTTAAAGTGTGCTAAGTTAGGTACCTTAAAATTGAAGACCCAAAAATCACAGTTACATTTTGGCAAATTAAAACTAGAAGACCTGATTCTCCACTGGGTCATTCCAGTTTCCTGCCTGTGTAACTTCATTGATCATTACTGCAGTGGTGATTCAGATCCCATGATCTCTGCTCCAAAAAGCTTACAGTCTAATGTTACAGTCTTTGTTAATACTAGATACATTTGAAGGGACAACATCATAGTTCAACTATCTTTTTATACATGTTGCCCTGAAGAGTTTGATGTTAAATTTATACTTACCAACTTGCTTTTCAGCTGACTGTGAAGGTGGCTTCTTTAACCCCTCCCCACTGATATCAGAATCACTATCATTAAACTCGCTATCTCCTTTCCCACTGTCTTTCACACTAAACTGATCAGGAGTTGAATGGGAGCTGAAAGCAAAAGGAAACCATTAGTGTATTGTCTTTTCCATACTCTGCCTGAATATGAAATTCTGTAAATGTCCAAAAATATTAAATGTATGAAAAACACTATTTTACCTTAAACTCGAAGCAGATTCTCGCTCCTGCCAAAGAGACGGGGGATGAAAAGGAACAAGAACTTGACCCTGACAAAAGGAAGAAATAGCTATGTTAATACTTTTGCATCTCTCAATATAAAAATGGCCCAACAATAATTTAAGCAGAATGTTTACTTCAAGTGGATGGATAATATGATTCTAACATATCAAATAAATAGAAATAATAATAATTACAACAAACAGAAATAAACCATAGCCAATATATATCAACAAAAACACATACACATCTCTATAATAATACTTAGCTGTGATAGAACCCTTTTCATCTGTAGATCTCAAAACACTTTACAAAGGTGGGTACATACACTTATTCCTATTCTACAGATAGAGAAACTGAGATACAGAGAGGTGAAATACAGGCAGTAACCCAGTGGCAGATTCAGAAATCAGATCCAGATCTTCAGACTCCCAGTCCAGTGACCAATATGTCTACAAGCAAACAGATCTAGTTCTCCAATCACAAAAATGTCCAGATATGAATCAAGCTGAATTGGCTAGGTGACCTCATGGAATGTTGTGTCAAGCGCTTACTACAAATTCTTGGGAGTTGAAAGGATGAATTCATTGCAGAACCTCTGAAAAGGAATCGGGTATGCTTACCTGGGAGTCTCTGCTCCTGGCTTTCCTCTCTTGGGCAGAATGACACAAGGACTCTCTGCTGCTGTCCTCGGCCTGGGAAGTGTCACTGGGGTTATCAGACTCGGCTGTAACAGAGAGCTGGCAGGAGTCTGCCTGGCCCGGGCAGGAGCTCCCTGCCTGGGAGCCTGAGCCCTTCAGCAGCCTGGCTTCCTTGCCTCTCCCCTGCTCTTCGGTCCCAGGTTGGAAGTGACTCTTGCTCCTCCTGCAGGTGGAGGCCACGGCAATGATAGCGATCAGCAGCAAGCCGCAGCCTCCGGCCAGCACAGCGATGAGGACCACGGAAAGGTCCAGGCTGGGCTGCAGCTCCTCCGCCGAGGGCTGTACGACCACGATCTCTACGCTAGAGGGGAGTGTGTCCGTGGGAATGAGCCGAACGGCGGCTGTGCAGGACAGCGACGGCCTCCCGCCGTCGTGGACAGCGACAACAAGCGGCAAGGCCGCTTCCGAGGCCCCGCCGGGCAGCCTCCTCCGCAGGGCCAGCTCCCCGGTGTCCCGGTTCAGGGCGACCAGCGGGTGGGCGCCGCCCAGGAGGGAGTAGGAGAGCTCGGAGTTCGCGCCTTGGTCCGCGTCGCTGGCCGCGAAGCGGGCGATCAGGTACCCGGCGGGGGCGCTGACGGGCAGCGGCAGCTCGGCGGAGCCGTTGGCCAGCGGCGGGGAGGTGATGACCGGGGCGTTATCGTTCTGATCCACCACCCGGAGCCTGAGGCGGGCCCGCTGGCACAGCTGCGGGGCGCCCCCGTCGCAGGCTTCGATCTCCACCTCCACCAGCGGCAGCTCCTCGCAATCCAGGGGCTGCCGGGCGCGGACGGACCCGCTGTGGGGATCCACGGAGACCAGCGCGGACCGGGGGCCGCCGCCCGGGCTCTGCGTCTCCAGCAGCCTGTAAAGGACCTTCCCGTTGCGGCCCAGGTCGGGGTCCCGGGCCACCACGGTGGCGAGGTAGGCGCCCGGCGGGTTGTTCTCCAGCACCGCCACCTCGTAGACGGGCTTGGAGAAGAGCGGCGCGTTGTCGTTCTCGTCGCTCACGCGCACCGTGTACTGCCGGATGGTCTTGAAGGGCGGCGAGCCCAGGTCCTCGGCCACCAGGGTCAGGTTGTACTCGGGGATGCGCTCGCGGTCCAGCGGCGCGGCGGTGACGAGCACGTAGCTGTCGGCGTAGGCGCGCTGCAGCGCGAAGTGCTCGTGCCCGTAGAGGGCGCAGCGCACCTGCCCGTTGGGGCCCGAGTCCCTGTCCGAGGTGCTGACCAGCGCCACGAAGCTGTCGCGCGCCGCCGCCTCGCTGACGTAGGCCACCCCGGCGCCGGCGGGGGCGCCGCTCAGGGGGCTGATGCTGATGCCCGGCGCGTTGTCGTTCACGTCGGCCAGGCGCACGATGACTTTGCACGTGGCCGCCAGGGGGCTGGCGCCCCGGTCCTGCGCCTGCACGTCCAGCTCGTAGGTCCGCTGCCGCTCGTAATCCACCGGCCCCTGCAGCGTCAGGCGGCCCGAGAGCGGGTCCAGCCGGAAGAGCTGCCGCGCCTCGGCCGGCACCTGGCTGCCGAAGCCGTAGACGATCTCCCCGTTGGGCCCCTCGTCGGGATCGGCCGCGTCCAGGTCCAGCAGCAGGGAGCCCCGCGGCGCGTCCTCGCCCAGCTCCACCGTGACCGAGCCCTGCGGGAAGGCCGGGCTGTTGTCGTTGGCGTCCAGCACCCGGACGCTCACCGTGGCCGTGCCCGAGCGGGCCGGGCTGCCGCCGTCCTGGGCCACCAGCTCCAGGGTGTAGGCGGCCTGGGTCTCGCGGTCCAGCTCCTGCAGCAGCACCAGCTCGGCGCTTTTCCCGCCGTCCGCCCGCGGCTGCGCCTCGATGCCGAAGTGGCTGTTGCGCGAGAGCTGGAAGCTCTGGATGGAGTTGGAGCCCACGTCCGGGTCCACGGCGATCTCCAGCGGCAGGCGGGTGCCGGGCGCGGCGCTCTCGGACACCTCGAGCGGGATGTGCGCCTGGGGGAAGCGCGGCGCGTTGTCGTTGATGTCCCGCACCTCCAGCTCCACGTGCACCAGCCGGTACTGCTCCTGCCACAAGCTCACCACGTCGAAAGCCAGGACGCACTGGAGGGACTGGCCGCACAGCCGCTCCCGGTCGATCCCTTCCTCGCCGATGCTCAGCTGCCCGTCCCCCTCCCGCACCCGGACCAGCGAGCTGTTGCTGAACGGCTCCATCAGGCGGAAACTGCCCAGGGGTCTGTCCCCAGAGCGGGACTGCAAATCGTCCCACAGCACCCCAATGACTGTACCGGGGGCGTCTTCCTCGTACGTGTGGTACCTGACCATCTCAGCCAGGCACCCTGCGACCAGGAGACACAGCAGCACAGAGCTTAGTCCCGCTCTGGACAGTGTGAGACCAGGAGACATAGCCTCTGAGATCCTACCACGCAGTCCTCAAAAAAGCCACTGGCCCTTTGTGTTGTAGAAGCTTTAAAGATGCCAGATTAGAAACAGCCCCCAATCCTGAATGCACAGACTGATCACTGCCCCCCGTTTAAACACATCCCGGCCATCAGAACCTCTCCGCTATGTAATTGGTGCCAGGAGTCTTTAAGTAGCTGTGCGTGCCCCAGGCTACAGCTTGCCTTTTTGCTCTCTGCGCCCTTTCCCAGAGGTTATATAGATAAGAGTATGCAAATCAGCATCTTCCCTGACCAATCCTCTGATCCCTGGGGACACCAGTGTCATAGTGTCCCCTGCATGGACTCAGTGGGACATTCCCCCAAGAAACGAACAATCTGTCAATTACACATGTGCAAACACATTGCTCCGTTCTCCAGCAAACTTGGCGACTAAAGTTTTCCCACTAACTTGCGCTTCAGTTGTACAAAAGCAGAGGACTTTCCCCTATAATACATTTAAGAATGTGCTTATACAAACAAACACTATATTAAAAAACCAAACACATACATCTGTAGAAATAAAGCGGGGTGGCGCAGTAGGCGGAAGCTAGGGGGAAGAATGATGGTGACAGGAATTCCCACATTAGCAGTTACTTGTGGTGTATCCATGTACGCAACATAATTAGTCCTTACGATATTTTTATGAGTTAAAGAATATGAATTAACACTGTCCTTTTCTTCCACCTCGCTTAATATTCATCAGGGCTGATCAGTGAGAAACCCCTGGGATTAATCCTTTAAGAGACCAGGCAGGAAGCCCACCAACTCTTAGTCCCAATACTGTCTCCTTAGGTGGTGGAAGAAAGAAGCGAGGAGGTTTCCAGTGATGTTTTGGGTGTATGGTTTATGATTAAGATGTGAGTGTATGCGCGTGCGCACGCCCATAAAAATATTGCCATGAGAATATTTATGTTAAAAGTCCTTGCACGGAGGAAGCTGCGAGTGGTTTGAAAAGTGGGAGGCTCAAAGGGAATGAAACCATCTGCCCAAATGCCGGGTGGCAACAAATCGTTAGGTGTCAAGTTCCCTGACTGTGTCAAAGTGTCACCTTGTTGACAGTTCTAACCATTGTTTACGAAGTGGTGATGAAAAAGTGTATGGTTTTCTGATGTATATTAGCATCGCTGCACATCAGTATTGTCCTGCTCCTCGAGAAATGATTCTTCTTCCATGCACACTAAAAAAAAACCAAAAGGTAACTTATCAACTGTGCTAAAGAGATCAATGAAGTCCAAAAATCAGGTAGAAATTTCAAATAAATAATTGAAAACCAAGAATTCGTTTGTGTCTAAGGTTGGTTGATTTTGTGTATGTATGTGGGAGACGGTTACTTTGGGGGTTTTCTGCTTGTATATTTTTGAGCAGATCAATACTGTCAACATTATTTTTGAACACTCTTTTTATAGGAATAATGAATATTCCTTTTCTACTGTAAGTTCCATGCCATGCATCTCTCATCGGCTGATGATCTGAATGTTCAATGTTTTTCATACATCTTATAGAACATTAAATTCTACTAACCCACTATTGACCCAAGTACTATAGTTTCATTTTCAAGATATGCTTTTGGTTATTATGCTTTAGCAACTAGGGTGCCAAAGATATCAATGAGTATGACATCTTGGCCTTATTTTGCATAAATTTAGTATATCAAGCAGAAGTACATATTATTTTTGTTAGCTGCTACTAGACCGATTTTATAATCACACCAGTCCTCCATAATGTGTAAATGATCAGTGCATGCTTGACCTAACGAAGGGAGAGTGCTATGTTGCTTTCTGTTGGGATTTTGTTATTACTTATGACTACTGCTATAATAAACAATCGTATTAAAAACAAAGCATTCCGTATTAACGAAGGACATTTGGAGTTGAAGGAAAGAGACATTTTCTGAGGCAAGATCAACGCTGCACCCGTTGAGTGACAGGCGAGCTAACAGAGAAACTGTATGAACTGTCCCTTTTAGGCATCTGGCTTTAACATGCTGTGTTTACAACCCTGAGCTGCTGAAACACACACGTTACATTCTGTTAGACTTGGGTGAGGTTAAAAAATATCGATCTTCGCATCAAAAGTTTTGTGGGAAAGATACGCTTGCTTTCAAGTTTGCCAGCATACACCCTGACAAAAGGTGAGTCTAGGAACCTCATGGGGACCTCTGCAGGAGCTTAACAAAAAATCAAAATACAGCAAAAACAATGCTGCAGACAGGGCAAAGTGTAAGTGAATGCAGGCGAGGAAAGCAGCAATTTGTTCCTCTTGTTCAGTTTAGTAAAACCACATGATGGTGTTTGGGGGGGGGGGGAGTCAAAACAAAACCCCTTTGCCCAGAGAGTTCACTTTTGTTTCTGAAACAAAAGCCCATGATACACTAATTTTCGCCAAATTGTTGGGGAATAAAATCCGTTAAACAGGATTTAAACCTTTGCAAGAGAAAACAAAATAACGAGACGGAAGGGGTAGTTTAAATGTAAACGATGCCTAAACTTGGAGTGGCCAAATACGCTCTAATAGAACTGCAACGCCCACGTGGTTATCTTCTACTTGACATCATATAATAAATAAGAGCTGGATTCTAACATCCTAAATCACAGTGAGTAGCAGTTTGCTCCCCGAGTCGTCTCATTTCTTCGTGTCTGCTCACAGTGTAAATTGCTACTCAAGGTGAGTAAGGGCATCAGAATCTGGCTGTGCACCCTTGTCTATACTGAGATTTCAGCCAAAAGTGGAGTAGCTGCACCGATGCAAATTCCTTAGGCTGCTATTCTCATTCCAGCCCTGTCCCTTCATGCAAATCTGCTCTAAAAGCCCTGGATCTGGCTGGAGGGGTTCGGGGGGAGGGAAGGCTTTCCACCAGCGGAGGAATTGAGCAAGACAGCAGCAGATTGCTCTCTAAAAGGACCCCCTCTCAAAATCTGGTGCGGGGATTGGTGCTCTAGGAGGCAGCACAGAATCTCATCCCTACCGTATAGAGCTCACATTGATTAAGGAGAACTTGCAGGTGTGCAGTTTAGCCCCAATTTCAAAGTGGGGTAAGCTGCACATATGGCACACAGCATCATTTTAAATTGGTCCTACACCAGGGTTTTGCCCAAGTACTAGTCCAGCTGCTGCACCAGTGGTTGAAATACCACCGTAGCAAGGCTTAAACCTACAAGATCATCAAACTGCTTCCCTCTCCTTCCTGTTCCAACTCCCACTCAGAGAAAGTTACAAGAGTAATAACACTGTTGTGAATTATTTGGCTATACAGTTTAGAATTTCGTTGCCCTCTAAAGTCTATTCCAGATCTCATTCTATACACTCCATAATCACAAACACTAATCATGAAACTACCATTAGCGTGTTTCCCGAACAAATGAAACCACAGGGAAGCTGCTTCAAACTCCCCAAATGTAATGCAGCAAGTGGTGATAAGGTTTGTTCTAATGGGAACATAAACTTTTACAAGACCTTGAAAAGTTTTGCTCCTTCAGATTTGTTTTCCCTGCGCAATAAACAATTTCTGCATGGCTTTATCCTTAGTGCAGATTCCTATAACGGCTGGAAACAATTTGCATTTCTCAAATGCATGCACATTGTGGAGGTTTAATGAGAGCATGTTATCAAGTACAATAGCTTCCAGATTTAAACACCAGGAACTGAAGCCATTAAGAAGAAACGGATATATTTGTTTGAAAAATGAATCTGAAGGGCAGGGATTATTTTTCTTTTTTAGTTTTATAATCATTCCTTGAAACAGAACCAAAGTTAGTCATGTGAGCCAAAGCATACAAATGAGATATGTCTTAATGTCATGTTATTGCATATTATTATTAGACCATTGGCTATTAAATTCTTTTGTGATTAGAACCAGAGGGTTTGGTTTGTTACAAAGATATCAGTAAAAATACTCATTTCTTTAATAAAGTATATTTTGAGAAGATAATTCAGGATCACACAGAGCTAAACATGCCATATATCCAGTACCGTAGTGGCAAGTTAAAATATAGTTGAAAATTACTAAAGCACAGCAGTGTAGAAGCAAATCATCTTTATCAAATCCAAAGCCATCTTTTCTTTAACCTGGTGGAAATTAAGGAAGAATCAGAACTAATTGGTATCTAGCCTGAATACAGAAGAGGAATTTATTGAATTACATCACCTCAGCTTATCTCTAATCTTTTAAGCCTTTTTCCCCAAAAGTACCTATTGAGAAACATGTTTATACAGAGAATGCTGAATGATATAAGAAAAAAAGTCAGTCTAATAATTTAAATACAAAAGTTGAGATCAGGAAGTTCTTGCACTGGCAAAACTCGCCATTCTGGAGTATTTTGCTTACTTAATAATAACACATAGCATTTTTTATCTGTAGATCATAAAGGGCTTTACAGAAGAAGACAGGTCCCATTATCCCCTATCTCTAGATGGGGAAACTGAGGTATAGGGAGGTGAAATGTTTTGCCCAGTCACACAGCAGGTCAGTGGCAGAGCTGGGCATGGAATCCAGCATTTCTGACTCCTGAGTTAGTGCTTGTTCACTGGACCACACTACTTCCCCAGGTGGCAGGTGTCTTAGACTTACCAGAGAGAGGGAGAGGGAGAGTGTCCTTCATTTACCAAATAACCAAATCGTTCATTCTTTAAGCAAGCAAAGCTCCTGGAAATATCACCTCTCTATTGTGTTTTTAAGTTACCCATCATATATATATATTTGATTTGGTTATTTGGTAAATGAAGGACACTCTCCCTCTCTCTGGTGTGTATATATAAATGCCAGTCAACACTTTTGAGCACACTGACATCAGTGGAGCTATGATGATTTTCCAGGAGAGAGTCTGGCCCATTTACTCTTAAATGCTCCTAGGACCCTGTTCCCAGTGTGTCTGATCTGTGGGGGGAGAGGGGAAGAAGGGTGTCTTCTCCTACTGGCTTTGTCTGTTTCTTCCCCAGCTTTCTCTACTCCACCATCTTCCTGGTGGC